GAGGACGCAGTGGGCAAGAGAGGAGGAGTTAGCATAGCGATAGGTTAGAGGCAGCCATAGCTGCCATAGCTGTAGTTAGTAGTGAGTGTGTGTGTCTGCTCGAGTGTTAGAGTGATGCGTGTGGGATATCCATGGTGATCCAGTGTATGTGAACAGTGAGATGTTCGGGCGCTGAAGTCGCCATAGCCAATTGAGAGTGAACTCGTATCTGAAAGCCATATCTCTGAGTTTTGAGTGGGCGCATGTCGCCAGTATACTGCGTTGCTGTTTACATGCATGAAAAGTGTGTTTGAGTAGGAGTCTGATTGCAAGAAAAAGAAAAGAAAAGAAAAGAAAAGAAAAGAAAAAATTGTTATGGGAAAGAAATTCAAAGAATCTCTCTCGCCAGTCCCATCATACGCAGTAAAGAATTTGTTTTGTCAAAATTCAAAAAGGGATCATTATATGTTACCAGAGTTGCCCGGCATGGGGAATGACCCGCCCGAGGTAACCCAGGCGGCACCAAAAATGGGGTGAATACCGTGAATTTATTTTATTTTATTTTATTTTGGCAGTGGGGCAATTTTGCACCTGCTGAGACGTGCCCAAATCCTGCCTTATCTTTGAGTTTGGTGTTTTCTCACCAAAGGGTTTGTCTATGGGGTATAAGCGGGGTTTGAACGGGCTTGAAGGGTCCACGTATAGATGGCACCTGCGCGAGGATGCCACGCATAGATTGAGAAATGGATTCCAAAATGTAAAAGAACCAAAAAAAAAAGAGTATAAACTATAATAGTATATAGTATATACCAGCGGGTGACAGTTTTCAGTCTTTTGACTCTCTTGAGAAGTTTTCACACACTTTCTGTACTTCGTTGTGTCTGCGTGTTACGGCACTTGCGCGATAGCGTCGCCGCATGTTGTGTTATAATAGGGCACTGTAGGCACAAACCCCTTCCACCAGCGTGGAGCTAGGAAGGCATCAGAGACCAAGCTATCTAGGGCATGAGCAGCACCCAACGGTGCTTTTTTGAATTTTTATCCTTTGTTCTTTTTGTCCTTTCTGTTTCTTCTGCTTGTTATTTTGGTACTTATGATTTGCATGATTAAGTCAAGTTAACACCCAAGGAGGAACCAGAAACATGCAAAAAGTTGCAAATCCCGCACATGCAGAGAGAGCAAAGGGAAAAAAGCACAAGTACGAAAATAACAAGAGTGAAAAAAAAAAAAACTGGTGATGTGATGAATGATAGATTGTTTTGTGTGGTGGGAGGGACTTGCACCGGATCATCAGGAGGCTGAACCCTTGACAATCTGCGGAATCTCCGTATTTGATGCTTTGGGTGATGAACCCTTCGTGACCCCTGTCCAAAGCAGCCTAAACCCTAAACCCTAAACCAAACAAGTGGAACACAGCAGCAAGGCAACGACACAGCGAAGCAGCAGGCAACGCTGCCGGGGCCACCCGACTGCAATACACGAAAACGTACTGCGAGAAGCACGGCGACACCGCAGCGAAGCACCGGGCAACACCAACAGAGCAGCCAAACTAAAAGAAGCAGCACACAAGCAAGTCCTTTGGGGCATCCAATAAAATTGGAACGATAGTTACGATACCCAGAAAAAAGGGAAAAAAAAAAAGGGAGCAAAGAACGGGGAATGACACGGCATGCGGATGAGCAGCGAGGAAAGAGCGCAGCAAAGCATGAGGCAACACCAACAACGCAGCCACGCTACACGGCAAACACACCAGAAGCAAAGGTTGACCTGGGGAGCAAGCGGGATTGGCGGCAAGGCAGCAGCGGAGTGCAGACAAGGCCGTCTGTCCACAAATCCAACACGGAGCATAGCAGTTCATCGCCTACTCACACCGCAAGTGAACCCCGCTGTTGGGGTCTTGGTTCCCACCACTTGCTGAGCCAAGGAGCACTCCGACGGACATCTATCGTGGCCCATAGACCATATGCATCACAGACATCACAAACAGAGCAGGCCCCCCCCCACCCAATAGCCCTGCAGGCACTCCAAACATCCATCCACCGACTGTTTAGCACTTCTTAGAGGTGGTCACACGGACACACAGAGAGTACCTGGGAAAAAACACGGGGAAAACAGACAGGTAAAAAACAGGAAAAAACCTTCAAAAAAGACATACATAAAACTTTTTGTGCATGTGTGTGGTCACTGTGGCGTGTGTGTTTTTGTATGTGTGTTGGGGGGGTGGGGGGGTATGTGTGTGTTCGTACATGCATGTGCATTGTGCACACATGGGTGATTTTCGATATGGATGATGGCTTATCTTTTTTTTGTTTCTTTTTCGATATGTTATCATCAGAGGATGTGTCCAAGCGGGCGTATGATGCAGCGAACCGGTGGACTGGTATGTAAATTACCCCAATTGTCTTATACCTGTGTTGTAAGAGTGTTGTTCACTTTGCGGAAGGCGCTGGCTGGGGTAGTACTCGTAAATTGCCAGCAGTGTGATTTTACCGCGGGGAATTTCTTGTTGGCCTTGCTCCTGTGGTAAAATTTGGAAAAGGTCAGAAAAAGTTCCCCTAAACCCTAAAGTTCCATTTTTTTTTTTTTTTTCAACCAGTCTAGTGGCAGGAAAATGAGAAATAGCGAGATGACAGGATCCAGATAGCACAATCACATTGAAAGCAAGAAAGTCCCACAGTGTCGAGAAAGCAGCATTGCACCAATATTACCCCAATGGAGAATCGAAAACACTGAAACCGAATGTCAATGAGAGCTTACTCTCCTCCTCACCAACACAAGTATCCAGGCCCTGTCTCCCTACTTGGCGCTCGGCGCCCAGATTACTCCCTACACAACTACTTCCTGCCTACAAATTGACAATGCAGCTGTTGACGTCAGCAGCCACCAAAGTACTTGAAGATGTCGACCAATGCAGACCATCACCAATACCAGGTATGCGCCCTCACATCATCATCATCATCATCTCTCCCTCTCTCTCTCCCTCGTCTTTCACCCACATCTTCCTTCTTTACACCCGAAGACCACCACCACCTCCACTGGCTGTCCAAGCCAAGCCCTGGCTATGTAGGGCTGGCTATGGCGCTGCCCTCAGCAGCGCCCTGCCTTCTTCCAGCGCCTGCGCGCACTGCCTGGCAACTAGCGCTAGCGCACAGCGCACAGCCCACTTGCGCACGCTCAAGCAGCGCTGCGGCATGCACTGCCTAGTCCCCGAATGCCCCCACCAGTGGCGAGCTCTTTCCTTTATGGAAAGTGCTCGCTGAGTTTGCTGTCTGGCTGGGCCTCGTGTGTTTCCAGTAGCTTCCGATCGGGCCAAAGTGTATGGGCCCAGGCCCATTCAGACAGTGGCCTGATACCGAATTGGTTAGGCCTGCCCAACCACCCAGGAGTAAGTGTGAGGTTCTCCCGGCTTCGCCTGTGCTGCTGGAAGAGCCTAGAAGGCTCACAAATTATTTCTGATTCTCACGAGTACGGAGGATGTAACCATCTAGCGCATGGCAACAGTCTGCCGCCCACCAAACTTTGCCAAATTTGACGAACTCAGGCCATATTGAGATTCAGGGGCCCGCCTTCACTTAGGGCGGGCTCATGCTTGCTGAAAGGGCCCTACAGGGGCATGTCGAGGAGCTAACTTGTCACAAGGCCTCGTCGAAGGTCCATGCCCACATGGGGGTTCCAACAGGCTCTGCTTGGGACCCTCAGCCTGGTCGCATAGCCCTATAAACAGGCATTGTCACATATTTTGTAGCTAGTGCAAGGATTTAGTCCCTCGGCAGTGTCTGAAAGTGTCGGGCCCGCCTTCACTTAGGGCGGGCACGACACTTTCAGACACTGCCGAGGGACTAAATCCTTGCACTAGTTGTTAGGAGGGCTAACCCCTAAAAGACGAAAGGTTGCATTATTTCGGCAGCAGTTTTCGGAAGATTGCATTCCTAAAATGTGATTGTGTAATGAACGCAGATCGTGAAGACAGTTGTCAACAATGCAAGTCCAGAAGAGTGTCAACTGGTTGATGATTACCAATAGTCAAAATCGTATCCAGACAGAATGAGGTGAGATAATCATACACAGACGAGGGAGAGAGGAGGGAGATTAGACATAGGAGAGGAGATAATTACAAGGCCCACTCCTGCTTCGGGCTCCCTCCTCGATCACCACCTCGACAACCAATAGTCTGAACGAGTATCTGAAGTAACCTCAATGTGCCACGTGGCACGTCTAATCAGTCCTTCATCAATGCTGGAGCAATGTCGAAATGAAGACAACCAGATACGTATCCACGATCTCTCCACAGTCCCGATCTCCTCCTGAATAACGATAATCAGAACAGCAATACAGGTCCCGTAGCCTCGCCTCGTCAGCAAACAGAAGAACACGTGGCAGCAGCCACGTCAGCCAACGATACACGTGGCAGCAGCCACATCAGCAATAGCGCATGGCAGCTGCCACGTCAGCATGCCAAGAAGACAGGTGCAAGCCAGCCACTATGCGTCGCCAAAGTCACAATGCCGGCATAAGCCAGCGTCCAGCCAGCGTCGCAGCATCGAGCCAGCGTCGCAGTCAACGCGTGAAGTCAGCGTCAACGCAAGACAGAATGAATGAATGTCAAAGCCAGGAAGTCAATGCTTATGTAGCCTTGACATGGGGTCTGGACCCCGGATGCCGCATCCCTCAGCTGTCCAGATCTCAATGCAAGCCTGGGCGCGGTACCTTTGACTGTATAGTTGACTTTGACCCTTGAATTTCCATTGTGCAGCGTTTGGTCCCACAGCCAACGCAGCAGCCGCAAGTCTGGGCGTGTTTCGGTCACACAGCCCAGTGCAGACCGACTCAGGTCTGCGTTGCCTGGGGCTGAGTTCTAGGCCCCAGGCTACTTCTGAATAGGGTTACTGCATTCCTGTCGGTCCATTTTCGAGTTCCACCGCAGAAATTTTAAGACTTTAACCCTCGTTCATAAGCAGCAACAATATCAGGAGCAGTTTCAAGTAGTTCTCTTTTACTAAACCATTTGTCCTCGGATGGTGCCCGAGACTTGAAACGTACCTTGAACTGCTTCTGAGGTCGTCCACGTGATCCCGTAGAGAAATATCCATGCTCTATGATTTTGTCTACTTCATATCTGTCGTCCATAGATGGCAGAATCATAGAGGGTCTGCTAGGAAATTCCTTCCCTTCTACATAGTGTGAGGATTGAGCCCTCAAGAAGGGGCCTTGCCATGATGTACATGTTCTGGGCTAAGGCCCCAGCAAGCCTCGTGCCCGCCCTAAGTGAATGGGGGCCAGCAAATCAACAAGAGCCCTCTGTGCAAACATTTCACGAAGTGGGGTCCATACAGTTGCAGTACGCCAGTTGGTTGGAGTGCACCGAGTATCGGAGCTCTGCAAAGGCAGAAATCCCAAGGCCCCAGAGTTGGTTAGGCCCTGGGCACATAAACGTGAGGCCGACAATGCATGCTGGATATAGAGGCCGAAAATGCCAATGGGAAACCGGTCCACTATCTGGATCTGGCCGCAGGCCTTGATGAAAGAGGCGCAACTGCATCTCCTGGGCCCCAACCGCATTGGGCTTGGGTACAGGTACTGGGGCCCAGGCGCAGGCTCAAGGGAGGCCGCTCACACGCAACACTGGCATATAGGCAGGGAGGGCGAGTGGGCAGGGATCTTGGCCATTGCGGGCAATGCCGGCACGCTACGCGAATGCGAGGTGCTGTGTTGCGCTAGGCTGAGGTAGAGGCAGGCTGCGCTAAGCGGTAGAGTGCTGCCTGGGCGCAGGGCGCTGGCGGCCATAGCCGGGCTGCCTGTGGGCGCAGAGGAGGTAAAGGGCGAAGGTGGTTCTTCGAAAGTGAAGGGCGCTGTGTGGGATAACAAGGGAGAGTGAGGGAGAAGAGAGAGACGTACCATGAAGGAGGGAAAGTCGGCATTGGTGTTGATATCATCACTCGCTGGTCAAGTTGTCTGGTTGCTTTCATGCTGTAGTTGTAGTGATAGGCTGTAGAGTAGGTAGGGCGCCTGGCGCCATTCAAGAGAGAGAGCTACATTGGGTTATGCTGTTGGTGTTGCCCGATTGGGCTTGGACATTGACTCACGATTCTTCTGTATCGTTCTCAAATGGATGGTTACTCGGTTCCATTGTGCTATCTGCTCTTGCTTTGACTACTTGGACTTCAGTGTGATTTTGCAATCTGGATTTCTGTGCTTCGTCCACATTCATGTTCCTTGCAATAGGGCATCAGTTTGGACGCGTGAAAGACAGGATATGTTTTGAGATGAGGGGGAATATCAATGCGATAAGACGGTCCCTCTGCATCCCTAATTACTTTGAGAACTTCCCAGGGTCCAAAGTAGACAGGCAGAAGTTTCTGAGACACATTTTCTTCTAAGGAAAACTCTTTGGACTTTACCCAGACGAGGTCACCTTCCTTAAAGGTAGATGGTCGACAATGTTTATTCGCTTGTTCGATCATCTGGTCCTGAGCTTTCTTTTAAGTTATCTCTTACCTTCTTTATGTTTTCTTGAAACAAGACTGCATACTCTCGTGTCCCTGGAGGTAACCTAAGGAACTGGTCCCGCGTTAGCACATCAATGGGACGCCTAGGTTTCCATCCCTTGTGCAGTGCATTTGGTGTACGACCTGTAGCCGTGTGAACATTGTTGTTATATGCACTAGCTATTTCGGGTAAGTTATCATCCCAATCAATCTGATCGGGTCTCACATACATGCGCAAGAGTTGTTGGCACAATCGGTTCATCTGCTCACTTTGTCCGTTCGTTTCAGGATGTCGTCCTGATGACATGGTCAAACGTGTACCGTATGCTTCCATCAGCTTTGGCCATGGCATACTTGTGAACCTTGCATCACGATTAGACACAATGGAGAGGGGAAACCCATATTCAGTCACCCATCGCATCTGAAACTTTTGGATCACAAGTCGAGTTTTTGCTTCAACAGGTAAGGGAATAAACATGGCATATTTAGATAAACGATCCACAACAACCATTACTTGACTATTACCATTACGGCTCTTGGTGAGGCTCATGAAATCAACTGAGATGGACTCACCTGGTTCACTTGGAATTGGTAATGGTTTCAGGAGACCAAGTGGATTCTCATATGAAGGTTTGTTTCACACACCAGACAGGTACACACGTAAGTTAGTACGTCTTCCTTTAATCCCTTCCATCCAAAGCGCTCCCTAACCTCTGCGTAAGTTTTTTTGAATCCAAAACGACCCTTAGAATCGTGGCATTCCCCAATTAACAGACTTTTAATTTCTTCCTTGTGAGGAATACACAATCTTTGTTCAGTCTGGTCTAACAAGAAAAGCAAAGCATCGGTTACACGGTAGTTGGGAAGTAGAGTTGGGTCTTTTGCAAGGACATCA